AAAATTTTAATTGGTCAATTGATTATACCAAAATCAACATTTATATTTTCTATACAACTTAATTACAAAAAATATAATTATTGCACTTTTAATATATAAAGATATAATTAGAAAAATTAATTTTAAAATTAAGGATTTCCTTAACATGTGTTTTAAGTGCATACATTAAATTATATATTATATTTTTTTTATCATTATTCATAACTTTTATGGTCAAATAGTAATTTATTTTAATTTAATAACTGCCCAACTAACATCATCTTATGTTAAGTTTAATTTTAATTTTTTAAGTTGACATTAAAGTGGCCTCCATGTCAACAAGGAAAGGAGAAACAGGCCACAAAATTGTCAAATAAGTTGCCACATCACGCTCAGTTAGTTGTGCCACATAAGCGCAGTTAAACGAGGCAGTAGCAATAGTCATGGAAAAGTGATGTCATCATTAACAGTAGGACTAATTTGATGTGCCATTCAACAACATAACTGGTTCTGTGCCATTATCTATCACCAATTGCACCCAACTTCAAGTGCTCGACCTCAGTTCTAATGGCTTTACAGGGAATATCCCTCCAGGATTCTGTTCTTCCTCAACCTCAGCTCTGCAAAAGATTCTTTTAGCCGACAACTATCTCTCAGGAGCAGTGCCGTTGGAGCTTGGAAGTTGCAAGAACCTAAGGACAATTGATCTCAGTTTCAACAGCTTGATTGGTACTATTCCCTCAGAGATTTGGACCTTACCAAATCTTTCGGAGTTGGTTATGTGGGCGAATAATCTCACTGGTGAGATCCCAGAAGGCATTTGCTCTAATGGAAGAAACTTGGAGACCCTCATTCTCAACAACAATCTCATAACTGGAACCATTCCACAGTCCATTGGCAACTGTGCTAATATGATATGGGTGTCACTTTCCAGCAACCGCCTTACTGGACAAATCCCTGTCGGTTTTGGAAATCTTCATAAACTTTCTATCTTGCAATTGGGTAGCAATTCACTCACTGGACAGATCCCTCCAGAACTAGGTAATTGCCAGAGCCTCATTTGGCTTGACTTAAACAGCAATGCCCTATCTGGTAGTCTCCCACCTGAGCTTGCCAACCAAACTCGCCAGGTCGTGGCTGGTGTTGTTTCTGGGAAGCAATTTGTGTTTGTAAGAAATGAGGGTGGAACAACATGCAGGGGTGCTGGAGGTTTGCTTGAATTTGAAAGGATACGAAGAGAAAGGCTTGAAAGTTTCCTCATGGTTCACTCTTGCCCATCCACAAGAATATATTCTGGCTGGACTGTTTTTACTTTTTCTAGTGATGGTAGCATGATCTACCTTGATCTCTCTTACAACTCCTTGTCTGGAACTATTCCTGAGAAGCTTGGTGCAATGAGCTACTTGCAAGTCTTGAATTTGGGACACAACTCGCTAACTGGATATATTCCTGACAGCTTTGGAGGTTTGAACACTATTGAAGTTTTAGATCTCTCTCACAATCATCTTCAAGGCTATCTGCCAGTTTCATTAGGGAATCTCAGTTTTCTCACTGACCTTGATGTTTCCAACAACAACCTCACTGGTCCAATCCCCTCCAGAGGTCAGCTGGTCACTTTCCCAGCATCCACATATCAGAATAATTCAGGCCTTTGTGGGTTATCAATGCCTCCGTGCGTCTATGGAAGCCACTCAACAGACGTACATACCCGGGGAAGAAAGCAATCTGTGTCAACGGTAATGGTGGTTGGCATCATACTCTTGTATATCCTTGCAATTGCATTAGCAGTAGTAATCGTCCACTTACAATTACAATCGAGAGAATTACGACGAGATGGAGAGAGTTAGAGAGATATAGGAGAGAGAGCAATTGCTTGCAATTGGCAGCAGAGACTCTCCAACCCAAAGCCAACCTCCTCCCCTTTGGATTCGACTAGAGATCGGAAATGTGCTTATTTTTGCTTGGTGGTGGGCTTATTCGCTCCAAGCCCCTCAGGCCCATGTGTACACAAAAAATGCTTTAGAGGCTTAATCTGGGACCAACAATAACAAAACAGTCGCTGCATTTTGCATATGCCATTGCCATATATAATACAAAAAATGGGAATATGGTATGAATTTTAAGACAACACTTAATTATTGTTGATACTAAAAAGACAATACTTAGTTATGGAGATTCAATACTGAGGGTCGCCGATAATAATATAGAAAATGTTAAATGTTAATTTAAATTCTTAAATTTTTAATTTTAAATAAATTTAGTGTCTTT